TGTTGTTGTTGTTGTTGTTGTTGTTGTTGTTGTTGTTGTTGTTGTTGTTGTTGTTGTTGTTGTTGTTGTTGTTGTTGGTCTGCCCCTTGTTTAACTTGCATTCCCAATGGCTGTGCCGCGAAGGACTCGGGCTGAGCAGCACCGCCCTTTCCATCAGCTAACCTGCGCCAGTATCTGTAACAGCAGTGCGATTAATACCGATTTGTCAATTATTAGGGCTCTTACCGAGTACCCTGCTTAATAACCCCCCCCCTTCGTCATCATTTTTTGTTAATGTCACTGGCATCATCTTGTACCTTTTTCCACAAAGGAAAAAAAAAAATTTCTGAGAAAAAAAAAAATCCATTTCCAATATATATACATTTTTTCCCTCCTTTCTAATATATCTCAACATTTCACACCGCTGCTGATCTCTTTTGCATTTTGTTGCACTATCCTGGTGCTATTGATTTCTAACCACTTTAATTAAGAAATTAATAATAATAATCCCTCTCAATTCCTTTTACAGGCCATTGACTAGCTCCCTCCCTTCCTCCCGCATACCATGAACGACCCTGAATTCAGGATAAAACTTTCCCAGGCTGTCGACTCACACCGCGAGCTTGACTGGATCTTCTCCAATTATTCCTACAATTCTAATGTGCCACTTAATGAGACGCCCATCATCAATTTCCGTAACTACCGTTACAAGATTGTCGAGATCTTTGTCATGACATACAAACAGGAAAAGGCGGTGCTGGATGTCGAGATTGCAACGCCCGACGTGCTCATCATACTCGGCACCTATGCTGAGTACAAACTGCTTGACCGTCTTGTGCGTATAAACGAAGCTGTCATCCACCAAAACCACTCATGGAGCAAGATTCTTGCATTAGCCCACGGCGATGTGCGCCTGCTCGTCAACTTGGCCTTTGTGGTTATGCATCTTTTTGCTGGCGACATTGTCGCGCTTAGTGATAACGAGATTGTCTACTGCTACATTCTTGCTGCTGCTGTTATCTCAAGCATTGACAAGCCCTGCCGTGCCCGCCTTGACAAGGACATTCAAAAGCGCGGAGTCAGGCGGCCCCAGGTATCCATCACCGACCGCGCTGCGCATACCTCCTCGTTTGGCCGCTCTAATACCAAGATCCCCAAGGATTCGAGCAAAGCCGAGGCTGCATATGTCAAGGCGTTTGAGGACATTCTTATGGACCCGGAACACCGCCCAGCCAATGACGAGAATCGCAAGGTGCAGGCATCTAATCTTGATGTTTTTATTGCCATGGCAAAACGGCTTTCGATCCGGCAAGCGTGCCTTCAGTCACTTTCTGACATGGGCAAAGATCTGCCACAACTGGGCCGTTTGCTCCATCTTGGCCGCACCAGCGATGCTGAGCCCAAGCAGCTTCTTTACTACATTGGCCAAGACGCCTGCGCCCTACCGGCCAATACCCTTGGAGACCATCGCTACAAAAAGACAGAAGTAAGACGACAAAAGATGTTATGAGTTTTTTTGATTTATACCAGTCTGTTTCTTTTTTTTTTTTTGGAGACTTCCATAGCGATCAGAATTTTTTTTTGTTGTTGTTGATTTTACCCATGTATTGTTTACTTTTTTTTTTTTTCCTGTTTGCATAGTAGTAGTAACACTCATAAATATATATACACATACATCATCATTGTTCCCTTGTAATAATGTTCTTTCTATATATATTATAGGCAGATAGATAATCAGTTTATTGTCCTTGCATCAAATAGTCGCAAGCGGAATTATGAAACAAAATGGCGTACAAACAAGGCATGAATTTATTTTAGAAAAAAAAAACATTTGTCCGTACGAGTCTAGCAACGTAGCGATGTCAGCGCGTATTAGATAGATAGATAATCAGTTTATTGTCCTTACATCAAATAGTTACATAAAAATTACAAAACAAAACGATATACAAAGAAGAAATTCAGCGCGTATTATAAGTTCAGATATTCAATGACATCAAGTTCTACATTAATAAATCCATGTGTTAACAAAATCCTGCGATACATGACACCCAGTAGATCAATACCAGAAACCGGCAGTGAGTGAACGCTTAACAAGCTGGTCTAATCACGCGAGCCATCAACAAAGTAGTTGTCGGAATAAATATAAGAATTTGATTACCACGCCAAAAACCCTTCTTGGGGTCCAGTCCCGGGGAAACTTTTCTCAAGTCTCGCTCTGTCGGGTACAGAGGACGGACGAAAAATCTTGAACCAACTTATCATGACTATTATTGTATAGGTACAAAGAATATTCCTTGAGAACGTGTTCAGCTTTTTCTAGCTGACTATACTCGTAATAATGATTTTGCTCGCTGGTGTACCTCATTTAGGGATACTCTCCAAACCCCCATGACCTGTGTTAAGCTGAAATAGTCTACTCAAGATATGACAATGCGCCCTTGAAATCACATGTCTTCTTTGTATATCATTTGGTTATATAGATAGATAATCAGTTTATTGTCCTTACATCAAATAGTTACCAATAAATTTGCTTTAACTGCCTGTTTACCTCACCATTCCCTGGCATTCTGAAAATTCTCATCCCAAATTGTAGATTGGGTACAAACCTCCTGATAGAAACATCTTTATCAAGTAAAAAAGCTGTCATAAAGTGATGCTTCATAGCTAAAGCAATAAATTCTAGAGTCACGTGATTTGATTACTTGTATTTGTGGAAGTCTTTGTATATGAGAGAGATATTTTTTAAACAAGAAAATGACAATTTGGCCGAGTTGGTCTAAGGCGTCCGACTCAAGAGTAATCTTTCACTGATTGCAGTGCATTCGGATCTCGTAAGAGGCGTGGGTTCGAATCCCACAGTTGTCATATTTTTTGATAACTAGATCAATTTTTTTTTTTTCATTTTTTTTTATTTATTTTGGAATGCAATTGTAGGCATAGACAGATAAATTGTATAATGTCGTAAATATAGGATTTACTAGGTAAATACTAGATTTCTTGTATCAGAGTAAACATTCTAATATTGTTTCCATCCCAAAAGATCATAAGAGATAGAAAGACTGTTTATGGTTCTAATATCTAGGTGCTAAATTTTAAAAATCAAGAAACGGTTCTCCGGTGAGTTCGTGGAGAATTTGGTCCCATCAAACATCTGAACTTATAGCACACGCTGACACCTATGTTGTCAGTTTCACAAAGACGTATGTATTGAAATCAATTTCTTCTTTTGCTAGTCTCAAAAAGATAAATGTTATAAAATTAATGTCTTCTTTGTATGCTATTTTGTTTCATATTTTTGTTTGTAACTATTTAGTGTAAGGACAATAAACTGATCATTTTATCCAGTGAGTATATACTACATATGTCATAGACCTTGCGTGTTATAATTATTATTTTTATTTGATTTTATATAATTATTCCTGATGCTATCCAAAGGCTTCTTGTTCTTGGAGTTTAAACTCAACTGCTCCTGGGCTCAATCTATAAGACTGCTGTTTGCCTAACCGATGCTGTCTCCAATGGTGAATAATATCTCCATTCTTTTCCAATCTATGGGTATATACGATTAATGACTGAGACAATTACTTGTTTTGAATGGTACATAACCAAGTATGCACCCTAATTGGTAACTGCCAAACAAAAGCTCAGCGGGCTCCGACTCATATTTAAAAAACTTGCAACACATTCGTGTAGTAATCGCAAGCTTCAGCACGAGAGATTAGGAACCACATGTCGGCAGCATGCTGGCGGCTGCACTCTAAATGAGATTTTAGATCAACTATATTATGACATTCCTACTGTTGCATAATGATGTTCTTAAACAGGCGTTTGTGCATTTCCATGCATTACATATTACACCCAACTATAACCATAAACATACATTTCATGCGTAATAGAAGATAAAGACCTCATCATGGGAACCTCTTATAGCGCCTGGTGCCAACATTGCTTGCAGCGCAGTAGGTCTTCGTTTCCTCTGAAAGCAGACAAAAACAAGCCGAAAACAAAAAAAAAATTGTGCTGCCAATTGGTTATTCTATCTTGCATCTTACTATTTTTTTTTTTTTTTAATGTGTATGCACCTTGAAACAAACGGACAGGCGCGCAGGAGGCGGATGGCCAGCTAAATAAATAAATAAATTACGCCTGTATAACACTGGAGAAGAGTATATTATAGTGATACTGTGAACATAAAGCAGTTACCAGTAATAAAACGGGAATGGTTTGAGACATGTTTTTCATGAAATTGAGAGACTTGGTTCATGATCCACAGTGTCTGATAAGTGTTCGCTCAGCATCTTTTTTTCATCAGTAACCATATGTATGCCTTCTACAGCTCTTTGGCTCTCTTTTCATTTATCAAGCAATTGAATTTAATATTACCAAAAGAAGTACAAGCTGCATTCAAATTGTAGTATCGCATGAATATACAATTACCGCGTCCTACAGACATGAAGCCGATGAGATGGCACAAACAGCTTGCGTTATGTCTTCACACATAAGCTGAACGTTACAATGAGTTTTTTAATCTTTTTTTTCTGGTTCAAAATTTAACAACTGTTGCTGTTGAAGCTTATGCCAGGAACCGATCAAACTTTGACAGTATACAAAGGGTCGATGTAGTCAGATGAACCTTGTTGGAGTTTATTTCAACAGAATGGCACCCACGACTAAACCAGATTGCCATTCCATTATATTAAGTGAGATCATGGCATCCAAGTTTTGGGATACCGTTACTCCATTGCTAATTAAATTTGCGCGGGCTCATTCAATTGAGTCTGAATGATTAAGCAGTGCCAACAGTTTCTACAGCTGGAAGTTTCAAGTCTGGGCACAACCAGAGGGTCGTGATGAGCGTATAAGCTTGCCAAGTCTTCTTATGACTGTCTACAGTTGACCTGCCTTCTCATGACATACCAACCATCCTTAGATATCCTTCATGGCGATCTTCTAGCTGTTGTAATGGTGAATTGCTAATTCAGTGGGCAAAAGTGAAGATCTGGGGAATTCAAAATAATTTTCTTTTTTTTTCCCTTTTTCTAGTCAAATTCCACAGCTAAACGCCCGAAAATAAAATTTTATTACGCGCACCTTCTGAATTTTCGAATAATTTATATTTTATTTAAAAGCCTTTCAATTTCTGTTAAATCTCCATTGTCCTTCTTTTTTTCTTTTTTCCTTTCTTTCACTGTTTCACTGTTTCACTGTTTCACTGTTTTTGTGCTTATTGTTAATCAGCTACTTCTTCCATCCTCAGTGTACTGTAGTTACAAACTATGATTTTTCCCAAGTCCTATCTCTTGACTTCCCTTTTGGCTTCTGTTGCTGCTGCCCAGGAATGGGGCAACTTCTCTGGTCAGGTTGACAGCGTCGAATACGTCTCTGATGGTCTCTACGCTCTGACTTCCGACATTACCGTTTCTCTTGCTGAGGGCTGGTCTTTTGTCGACATTGTCGGCAGAAACGAGGGCCAGATTTCCAGCAAATCCATTGTCTTCAACTCAGCTGACTCCAAGTACTACGGCAAGCTCGCATACACCAACACGGCGACCAGTGACACCCAAGAGGAGGTCTGCTTCCCGTCTGTTCCCATCAGAATTTCTTTGAACCAGGAGGTTGACGGTTCCACCTCTGGCCGCCTCATTAATGGTAACATGTACATTGGTTGCGTCGACAAGTCGAGAATTGCAAATCTCCCTACTAGTACCGCTTCTGCTGTCTCTAGCGAGTCCAGTATCCCACCTATCTCTCTTCCCAGTCCCATCTCTTCCGTGTCAACTGCCACTAGCGAGTCCAGTATCCCACCTATCTCCCTGCCCAGTCCTATCTCCTCCGTGACAACTTCCAGTATCCCGCCCATCTCCCTGCCCAGTCCTATCTCCTCTGTGACAACTTCCAGTATTCCACCCATTTCTCTTCCCAGTCCCATCTCCTCCGTGTCTACTGAAACTGGAAGATTCAGTATCCTGCCCATCTCTGTCCCTACTCACATCTCCGTGTCTACTGAAACTGGTGAAGCCGGTATCCTGCCCTACACTCCGTCCAGTGACAGGTCCTCCGTGTCTACTGAAACCGGCAGATTCACTATCCTGCCCATCTCTCTGCCCAGCGTGACCCCCTCCGGGTCAAGTGCCACTGGTGTTCACAGCAACAAGACCTTGGTCACATCGCATACTGCTACTGGTACCAGACCTGCTAACGTTACTGGAACCGGTGTTGTCGTCAATCAAAACTCCGGTGCTACTAGCGCTATCAGCTCCGTTTTTGCTTTGGGCGCCATTGTTATCAGTTTTGCTCTGCTCGCATAAACCAATTTAAATCTTGTTCTTATTTTTCTACAAGGTAATTTGCAGCGTTATCACTGTCAATATTACTATTATTTCTATTATTACATTAACATTCCTTTTAGTATTTATTTATGATTTCTATATTTGCTTTTCTTAACATTTTCATGTCCCTCCTTAACGTCATTTCGTTATTTGTTTTCTTTTTATATAAATATATCTATATTATTTTCCTTAATGAATCAAAATCTTTAATCTTCATTATGTCTTCCGGGGTTTTGGCCAACCACTGCCTTGCAAATTCCATGATATCTAGGTTCTTGGAAAATAAAAAATAAAAATAAAAAACATGAAAAATAAAAAAAATTCCTGTTCTTTGTCTTTCTCTCCGTAGACATTCACGCCACCCCCAATCTCAAACATGAACACAGCTACCAGAGCCAAGAGCGTGTATATTGTAGTCCGTTCGGCCTCTTTATGGTCAAGACAGAGCGCTGTTCGGCTCAGCACGTCCCGGATCAGATTCTTCTCGTCGACATCTGGGGCCTCGTCCACATCGTCATTCCACCCCAGCATCGGCTCGACTCTGTCGCAGCTCGATTCCATGGCCATTCCCAAGTTTGAGATGCCAAGCGGTTCTATTAATGTCCTCTCAACCCCCACCGAGTTTTATGAGACTCTCAAGGCCAAGATCCTTGCTGCGAAAACCCGCGTGTTTCTGGCTACTCTCTACATCGGCAAATCAGAGAATGAGCTGATCGAGACACTTAAGCAGGCGCTGGCCAAAAACCCGGAACTCCAGGTCTATGTATTATCGGATGCGTTACGTGGTACACGTGAAGCACCCGCTGCCCCTTGTTCTGCGTCACTGTTAGCACCCCTCGTCGAGCAATTTGGAAGTGATCGCGTTCATCTTCAAATGTATCATACGCCTGCGTTACACGGACTGCGTAACAAAGTTATTCCCAAGCGCTTCAATGAGGGCTGGGGCCTTCAACACATGAAGCTATATGGCTTTGACGACGAGATCATTCTCTCAGGTGCCAATTTGTCAAAGGACTACTTTACAAACAGACAGGACAGATACATTTTATTCAAGTCAGGTCCGTTGACAAACTACTACTTTAGAATTCATAGAGCTGTTGCTCAATTGTCATACACGGTGGTGCCGGTTTCTAAGGAAAAAAACCCCGTTGACAATAGACCGATTGGTGAGAAGATCAAGACGTTTCTGGTCAAGAAGCTTGTGCCCAAGCAGCCTGAGCCAACTTTCACACTCGAGTGGACGCAGGGTGTTTACTTTCCCGACCCTATCAATAGCCCCGACCAGTTCATTCAAAAGTCAACCGAGATTTTGACCCCGCTGCTCAAGTCCTCGACTACTTTTAAAACTGTCAAGGACCGCACAGAGGACTGCCCTACAATTGTCTATCCCATTTCTCAGTTCAGCCCGCTGCTGCAGAACAAGGACACCTCGACGGAGTTTCCAGTGATTTCGCGGATTCTGTCAATGCTTGGTTCTAATTCATTCAACTGGACGTTCACTGCTGGCTATTTCAACATCCACCCTGAGTACAAGGC